ATCAAGGTTTTGGAAAATGAAAAGGAGTTCTTCACACTCACACGCTCATACACACACAGGCTGTGGATCACTGTCTCAAAGATTCCAAAATATGAGTGGACAGTGATTTCTTAATGAGATCTTAAGGGAGTAGGAAGAAAAAAAAAAAAAATATATATATATATATATAAAAGCACATCCAAAGATGGAAGCACTCCATACAACTCACCAGAGGTTTAATTTTTATCACATGAAGAAAGAGCCATACATCCTTAAGCCATTTCTCTTTCCAAGATGCCTTCTGTCATAAGTCAGTATTTTGGGGGTAGGAATAAAAACTCCTTATAAGCAATCTGCTCTCACATGCTTTAATATTGTGAGAAGATGACCGTGAAACATGGACAGGAAAGTACCAAAGTCTTGGCACAGATCAAGAATTTAACGTTATCATCAAACAACTTATACAGAATTAACCAGACATACATATCGAGATCTGCAGTTACTATTGTGTTATATATAAATGTCTGTAATTTGTGTGACTTTCCACAGCCAAAATAAGTATTTCTGGAATTAGCTCTTTAGGGGTGAAGGTAAGAGGGAATAAATAAAGTAAAAAGTTCTTCTGATCCATCAGAAGACACCTGATTGATTTCAAACCCAGGGAACCTGCCAGTGTGTCCCAAGAGAGTAGGGCTCACGACTCCTTTTCCCTTTTGTTCCTCCCAGGGCTAGTCACCTGGTAAGAAGTTGCCAATTGCAAATAAGAGTGTGTGCTTGCTGGATGTCTTCTGTTTGCTCTCTTGACCCACCTTCTACCATTCCCCACCTTCTTCTTTGCCTCCAGAAGGGAGCATTCTGGACTGCACCAACAAGCTACTTTGTCCTCTGGCTTGTCCTTGGATTCAGTCAGTGGGAGGTACCCACAAGGTGACTTAGAAGGCAGAGGGGGAGTGAGGTAAGGATATGTATTTTCCCGGTTCCTTTGTAGCCAGATCTCTGTACATTAGCTGTGTTCCTCTATCAAACATAGCTACAAACGCCCACTCTAAGTTAGAGTTTTGATAATGGCTCTATCACTTGGCTTCTTTTGGCCTAAGATTGGGACAGTTTCCCAGGGTTCCTAGCCCACACTTTTGTAGTTCATTAAACTCTCCCCAGTCACCCAGTCTGAGTAGCCATCTGTTTCCTGTCAGAACCTGACTGATAAGAGGTTTACTTAGACTTTGGAAACAGGCAATCGGTGTGGACAAATACATACGTGATGGGAGTAAGATAAACAGCTGAAATGGATAGCATGACCAGGGCTCCAGAGGCTGCATCCCTTGCCTCTAGTCCAGTGTACAGCAAATAGAAGGGGAAGGCTTTCAAAGGTCAGTACTATAAAGGTCAACATTTACTTCAAATGCTCCCTCCCAAAAACCATAATATGATCAAGCAAACCATTAGTTAAAGATATAGAAACCTAACTAATGACTCATTTTTTATTTTTTGAGACAAGGTCTCACTTTGTCACCCAGGCTGGAGTACAGTGGTGTGATCTTGGCTCCTTGCAACCTCTGCCTCCTGGGCTCAAGCAATCCTCCCACCTTGGCCTCCTGATCAGCTGGGACTACAGGCATGCACTTTTATGCCTGGCTAATTTTTACATTTTTTTTTTTTGTGGAGACAAAAGTCTCACTAATATTGCCCAGTCTGGTCTTGAACTCCTGGGCTCAAGCCATCTTCCTACCTCAGCCTCCCAAAGTCTAGGGACTATAGATGTTAGCCACTGAGCCCAGTCAATTATTGACTCTTTTTTGTCTTCAGTCATTTGCACCGGGGGCTCCCTGTCATCCATTGAACTGGTTAGCGCCTATTCATTCCTTAAAGTCTCAGTTTAGAAGTCAATCTCTCAACACCAAATAGCATATTGGTGATGGAGCCAGGCCTTAAACCTAGGTCTTCCACCTTGAAAGGTGTAATAGGCTGGGTGCAGTGGCTCACGCCTGTAATCCCAGCACTTTGGGAGGCTGAGGCAGGCGGGTCATCAGGTCAGGGAATCGAGACCATCTTGGCTAACACAGTGAAATCCCATCTGTACTAAAAAAAAATACAAAAAAATTAGCCAAGCATGGTGGCAGGCACCTGTAATCCCAGCTACTCGGGAGGCTGAGGCAGGAGGATGGTGTGAACCTGGGAGGCGGAGCTTGCAGTGAGCCGAGATCGCGCCACTGCCCTCCAGCCTGGGTGACAGAGTGAGACTTCATCTCAAAAAAAAAAAAAAAAAAAAAAAAAAGATGGAATAGAGGTCTTCTATCTCTATTAAATGCTACCTCTATTTACATATTTAGAGTGATGCCATTACCACAAGAACATTAAAATTGCATCTCAATTATAGGCAAGAGGCTCCTCTTTTTAAATTAGGCTTCATGGGATATATTTTTGTGACCTTTCTTTCAGTAATGTCCAATAGTCTGATGTAAATCCTTCTCAAACCACTGAGACCATCCCTTATAAGACAATCTCTAATAATAAAAGTACCAGGTTTTTGTCCAGATTTAGATTTCTCATGTGACAGAATATACTGAGGCTAACTGTAAAAGCATGAAATAAACTGTAAAAGCATGAGGCTAACTGTCTGCATGAAATATTGACATATTATCAAATCATTACTGTTTTCTTGCTAGAAATTGGATGAAACAAATATAATCCTTAATATTGTTTTATTATGTTGACTTTTAAACCAACTCTTCTAATTTAATTTCATTAATATCAATTTCTATCTGAAAAATGATTAATCTCAAACAATTTAAAGTGAGATCGATTGTGAAATATCAGCTAAGGTGAAAAATCTCTGGTGAGGACAAAGATCTGTGATTATAATGTCAGATGCTTGGTGAAAAATTGCCTGAATTTGATTGTCCACTTACATTTCTGTTTCCTAAAGGCTCCACATTTCTATACTGCTAAGCTTACCACGAAAGTAATTTTTATAAATGTTTCAGATTCAGAGGCATTAACATTCTCTACAATGCTTCTTTCGATGATGGAAATGCATTACTTCATAATTAGAATCAAGAAGTCATTTCTAACTTGATACTATTAATAAAACTCAGATTAAAAAAAATCAGTTTAGTTATCCATAGCTCTGTTTTCTGAGATTTCCTGGTTTCTGATGAGATAACCTAAACTTAGAAAAGGCAATCTTTCCATCCATGAAATAATTCCTCACAGGATGGGTGTTCTTTTTATTGCTGAACTATATGCAGGTAAAATTAAAACACTACTTCTCTAATATATTTTCACTAATTCTATAATACTAACTAAACTGTTAGGAAAGTAAATATTTTTAAAGAGCCCAAATGACCTAGAACTAGAATATATGAAATATAAAACACAAAACACATTATTATCAAGCATACAAAATAATCAATGAAAAAGACTATGAGGCTACAAACCAAAATGTTAACAGAAGTTATCTCCTTGTGATTATGGGTAGTATTGTTTTATTTTACAAATGTTCTTCAGTGAACATATATTAATAAAAATAAATATTTCCAAAGAAAAAGTATTCACAATAATTTATAATAAAAAGTAGAAACTGGAATACAAAGTGGTGTGCTATGATTATAACCTTGTAAAAGCATGTACACATATGGGCAAAAATAACGGTAACAGAGAAAAGAAAAAACACTTGATTTGCAAGGTACTGGAATGGTGGTTGGTTTTTTTTCTGTTACTGTCAGAACGTTGTTTCCAGGGAAAGAAGAAGGTATTACATAAAAGGAATAAGATAACAACACTAAGCCAGCCCATGAGGAGAAGTGGCACATAGGGCATCCACAGCAATGAACAGCATAGCCTCACAGTACACGTGATAGTATTTGATCCAAGAAAACTGTTCCACTGGTTGTGGTTTACTTTGTTTATTGTCTTTTATGGGGGCATGAGCAAAGGGGCTTAGCAGGTGTGCATAAGCTAGAAGTACTGAAGAATAGATTGCTGAAGCTATTTTTCTCTACTGTAAATTAGTGGATGTGTTAAGTAGGCAAAAACTGAAATGGGGATAATCTGGTCTAGAGATTTTGTGTGTGTGTGACAGGGTCTCGCTTTGTCACCCAGGCTGGAGTGCAGTGGTGAGATCACAGCTCACTGCAGCCTCACCCTCTGGGGCTCAGGAGATCCTTTCCCCAACAGCTTCCCAAGTAGCTGGAACTACAGTTGTGTGCCACCACGCTCAGCTAGTTTTGCATTTTTTATAGAGATGGGGTTTCACATTGCCCAGGCTGATCTCAAACTCATGGACTCAAGCAGTCTACTCGCCTTGGCCTCTCAAAGTGCTGGGATTACAACTGTGAGCCACTTTGCCCAGCCAGCTCTAGGGATTCTTTATTGCCAATGAAGCTTTATAGGTGGATAAAACTTTATCTGCACAAAATCCTTTGGGTATGAGTTATTTTGGTTAGCTACACAAGTTTCTTAGTGTCTGGAGGCTTGTCGTTTTTCTTTTCTTTTTTTTTTTTGGAGAGTTGCACTTTGTCGCCCAGGGGAGGCTTGTCTTTTAAAGTTTTAAAAAACCAATTAAGATGAAAATATTTCTAAAATTTACCTTTTAGAAGGAGACAATTCAATTTTTTTTAAACATTTCTTTTAATGCCCCAGGATAATCATTACTCATATTGATTATTATGTTATTAAGCTTCTGTTGAGGTGTGTATATGACTGTATTCCTATTTTGAGGTTCAGGATGACTAGATTTTTTGTTTAGTTTGCTTTTTTGAATTTTTTTCTTTTTATATTTAAGGAACAGGTTCTTAGTGAGGGCTCACAGAGCTGTATTATGAGTAAAAACATAGGATTTTGAGTACACAGACTTTGAAACATCAGATTTTGTCTTTCTTTGTGGTTCTCATCTGTTGTTCAGACAGACGCAGCTGCTAGACAGCTGAGATACAGTTAAGTGAAGGGTCACTAGATAGGAAAAGATGACTTGACCATAGTTTCCCAGTGTAATACTATCATCTCATCTTTCACTGAATTACCTTTGGTCATCAGCTCCATTTTGACTGCTGTTCAAGACAATTCTCCAAAGATCTGAAGATACTAATTTCTTCTGGTCATTCACAAGATTGACATCCGGCAACTGCAGTTCACAAACTTTGCTTTCAGACAGACTAAATTCTCTAAATGCAACAAAAACCTTCTGGAGTTCATCCCAGTATTCCAAGCTACAAGGAACCTATGTAAAAATAAAAAAAAATTTAGAAGTTGCAAATAGAAACTATGCTTTTATATTTGTTGAAATTCATATTAAACCTTTATAAAAGTTATAGCATTAAGACCTTTAGAGGAGAATAAGGTTATAAAAGACAGCAGTTTAGGATTTCTTTTCATATTATTATATATTCATCCTGTTTATTTTTAAAGAACAATTCAATAATAATACATACAAACAGCCAAAATTTTAAAAGTAATAATGGAGAACAAATTCTGCAAGGTGTTAAATGTATTATAAACCCATAGTAAGTAAAAGATAAGGCTAGTGTAGTAACATACAAATAGATTAAAAGAATACAATAGCAGAGAAAGGGCTAAGTACAGACAAAATCTTACTATGTAATGAAGGTGCCAGCCAGGCACAGTGGCTCATGCCTGTAATTCCAGCATTTTGGGAGGCTGAGGCAGGCAGATCACCTGAAGTCAGGAGTTTCAGACCAGCCTGGCCAACATGGTGAAACCCTGTCTCTACTAAAAATACAAAAATTAGTTGGCCAGCCGTGGTAGCATGCACCTGTAATCCCAGCTACTGGGGGAAGCTAAGGCAGGGGAATTACTTGAACCCAGGAAGCAGAGGTTGAAGTGATCAGCGGTCACACCAGTGACTGTACTCCAGCCTGGGCAACAGAGCAAGACTATGTCTCCAAAAAAAAAAAAAAAAAAAAAAGGTAATGAAGGTGCCACATCAAATAAGTAGGAGAAACATGGAAAATGAAGTTTGCAAAAACTGACTAGTCACTTGGTAAAACCAAGTGGGTCCCTACATCATTCTTTACACAAAAGTAAACTCCAAAATGATAAAATTGCTGAAGGCTAAGAAGTGAAAGTGTAAGAGTGTAAGAGAAAAAAACATGCTAATATTTCAAAAATGTTATAATAGGGTAGACTTTTGTATGTATGGCATGAAACCCATGACAAAATCAAAATTAAAACAGTCAACTGGGATAAGACAGGTAACATTCGATGACAGGTGAAGGAATATTCATTCTGATAGGAGACCGCTCTTACAAATCAATGAGAAAATGATACATAATCACAGAGAAAAGACAGATTTTACAAGTTCCTCAACTGTGCCAAACGTCTACTGCAAGCAGAGCATCCCCCTGGGGGCGCTTCTGCATCATGCCTGTGGGACTTGGGAACAAGGGGAACCAATGAAAACATGATGCTCATGCTGCTTGCCATGCCACAAGCAATAGAGTTCTTTGCTTCTGGCCAAGCAGTCTTATTCCTTCTGCCAGCACCCATGAAACACTAACAAGATAACTTACTAGCTTGCACTGGGTAAAATCCCAGACCCTCACAGCAATTAGATCACAGAAGAAAAAATATAACCAGCCAGTAAACACAAAAAGATAAAAAGATACTCAGCTTCACCAATACTCAAAGAGATTCAAATTAAAACAATAATGTAATATTTTATTTACTAACCTTTCAGTTGAAGAAGACTGACAGGTCTAAGTACCGTACAAGCATGAGAAAAAACAACTTTTTTTTTTTTTTTTTTGAGACAGAGTTTTGCTTTTTCACCCAGGCTGGACTGAAGTGGCACGATCTCGGCTCACTGCAACCTCCGCCCCCTGGGTTCAAGCAATTCTTCTACCTCAGCCTCCTGAGTAGCTGGGATTACAGGCAGGCGCCATCATGCCTGGCTAATTTTTGTATTTTTAGTAGAGAAGGGGCTTCGCCATGTTGGCCAGGCTGGTCTCGAACTCCTGACCTCAGGTGATCCACCTGCTTCAGCCTCCCAAAGTGCTAGGATTACAACCATGAGCCACCACGCCCAGCCAAAACTTTTTTTTTCTCTAGGAAGTATACTTCTAAGAATTTGTTTTACAGAGATTCCAAAGCAAGAGAGTGTGTGCATACAATATATACGTATATACACACGTGTATGTACTTCAGTACTGTGTTTATTAATAAGAAAAGTTGAAACAAGTTGAATATCTGTCAATACATTGGTTACATGTAACATGCAGATCTATAGAATGTATTTCTACACAACTGTTAAAATGAATAAAGAATATCTCTATGCCAGGCGTGGTGGCTCACGCCTGTAATCCCAGCACTTTGGGAGGCCAAGGGGGTGGATCACCTGAGGTCAGGAGTTCGAGACCAGCCTGATCAACAAGGTGAGGAACCCCGTCTCTACTAAAAATACAAAAATTAGCTGAGTGTGGTGGCAGGTGCCTGTAGTCCCAGCTACTCAGGAGGCTGAGACAGGAGAATTGCTTAAACCCAGGAGGTGGAGGTTGCCGTGAGCCAAGATTGCACCACTGCACTCCAGCCTGGGCAACAGAGGGAGACTCCATCTCAAAAAAAAAAAAAAAAAAAAAAAAAAAAATATCTCTGTGTATTAACAGAAAAGACATTTAGGAAATATTAAAGTATTTTGTTTAGGATAAGAACATGTGGGTTCATTCTATTTGTCTTGAAAAATAAAAGACTGGCTCAGATGTGTTTCCTTTTTTGGAAGCATTTCCTAATTACCATCCTCAGAACTGATCACTGCCTCTCTGTGTCATGTCTATACCTAGTACACTACTCTAACATAGAACTCACTATATTTTGTAATTACTTATTTATATGTTTGTCTCCTTTAGTAGACTCTAAGATCCTTGAGGGCAGAAATGGCACATTATTTAAAAAATATTCCTAGCACCTAACACACTTTTGAGAACATAATGGGATCTCAAAAAAGCTTCTTTAATGAATAGATTGCTCCTTAACCTTTGTTTCCTAAGTAAGTAATTCTCAATCTTTTAACAGGAATAAATGTTGAAATAAACATTACCTCCACCTATACTTAAGTTTCTTTTCTTTAAACAGTAACTTGAGCATCCATATATGATGAGATGCTGGAAGGAAGAGGGGAGAACAAAATGGATATGCAGAAGAGGGCAAATGTCATGAAACAGAAGCACACGTTCTGGTTAGTGCTAAGTGACATATCCATGGCATTACACTTTTAGCCACCATTTCTTGAAATTTTCTTTTTTCTTGTTTTCCATGACATAATTTTCTCTAACTTCTTTTTTCTGGGTTGTTGTTCCTGTATTTTCTCTCAGCCTGAAATACCTCTATACCCCTTACTTTCTCACTGTCTCATGTTTAAATCCTTCACATCAATCAATAACCAAATCGACCACTACCTATCTCAGCCTTTTCACCTCCCCCGATGGAAAAATCCTTTCCCTTTTCTGAACACAAATAATTTTTTAAAATGGAAATGTCTTTTACAGTGCTAATCACTGTATACTTCATGTTATAGTTATTTCTGTACATGACATCTTCTCTGGTGGACACATTCCTTGAGGGAATGATTTCCATTTGGCTAAGCTTTGAATTTTCACAGCACCTGGGAAATGAATACAGCAAATGTTCAAAAAGAGTTGCTGAATAAATGAATGAATAATTCATGAATGAATGAATGAATATACACATACTGCGTGGTTCAAACCATCTCTGGCACATGAAAGATTCTCCACAAAGAGGTATAGAAGTTGAAAGCATGAACTTTGGATCAGATCTATTGGGATTCAAATCCTAGTTCCATTAACTTTTTCTTGGGAAAATGAATTTTTGTTTTTCTTTTCTGAGACAAAGTCTCACTCTGTTGCCCAAGCTGGGGTGAAGTGGCGTGATCACAGCTCACTGAAGCCTTGACCTCCCTGGCCCAAGCAATCCTCCCACTTCAGTCTCCTGAGTAGCTGGGACCACAGGCATGTGTCACCATGCCTGACTAATTTTTGTATTTTTTTGTAGAGACAGGGTCTCCCTGTGTTGCCCAGGCTAGTTTCGAACTCCTGGACTCAAGCAATCCTCCTACCTTGGCCTCCCAAAGTGCTGGGATAGTAGGTGTGACCCACTGTGCCAGTCCCAAATTAATTTTTCTAACACAAGTTCCCATATATGTAAAAAGGGGATGAGAATATAACTACATTCATGAATTTTCATAAAAATTAAATGAGACAAAGCATTTTATTTAGTACCACAGAGTAAGATCTTAAGAAATGTTAGCCATTATTTACCCCTCTCATGCTCAAAGAACACTGTGGAAGTTTGTATGTTGTTACTAGAATCAGGGAAGTTGTAAGAGTTCTGATTATTAGATTTCTTAATAATGGATTGGACTTCTGGGAAGAAAATAATAAACTATGAATCTGGATGTTCAAGAACACTGTTCAATATTATTTTCTGGTACATACCTGTTAAGGTGTGGCCCTCCATATATGCTATGACTTCAGAGATAAAGGAATATATCATTATACATCTTTGCTTAACTACTCTCTGGACTGCCAGTGAGTCAGCCCTGTAGTTTGACACTCATAACAAGCAAGGGTGGAAGAGATATGGTAACTGGAGTATAAATCCCTACAGAGACATATAAAAATCTCAGTGGAGGCCAGTTGCAGTGGCTAATTCCTATAATTCCAGCACTTTGGGAAGTGGAGACAGGAGGATTGTTGGAGTCTAGGAGTTTGAAATCAGCTCGGGCAACTTGGTAAGACCCTGTCTCTACAGGAAAAAAAAAAAAAAAAAAA